AGGAGATAGATGAACCCTTTGGTTTTGTATGTACATTAAGGATTCAACAAGTATATACACCGATAGTATAAAGAGCTTTAATGTTGTTAGTATATTTTTAATTTGTAGAAGGTAATTTGCATTATTTTTTAGGTTTAGTAATGCCACACTTTTTATTTAAGCATTAACTTGCATAATCTTAGGCTAGAAATCAGTATGCTTAATTTGCTTTATGTTACATCTTAACCTTATAAATTTTTTTATCCTTTTCTTTGTGTTATTTGACCTTAAAGTAGCTACCATTGGTTGTTTCAAATAATAGGTGAAAATTAAACCATTTAAAAAATTCAGTTAAGAATCCCATATAATGAATGAATGAATAATGAATAAATAAATAAATAAATAATAATAAAAAAAGGAATATCCAAGAAAGGATATCTCATCCACATTATGTACATGTTTATTTTCTAGTTTTTCATTATATGTATGGGAGATGAGGCATATTTTCTAACATAATCATTTCTTTGGTTTATGGAAACTTTATATGGTTTAGAAGATAAAACTATTTCTCTATTTTTTTTATAAAAAAAAAATAAAAACTTTTTGTGGAGTTCAACCAAAACCTAGGTAGATTTTAGTAATACTGATGATGGTGACCAAAAATTTCTCCAAGCACAATGAATTGCTTTCCCAAATCATTTTCTTGGGCCTACAAATACAAAGGAGAAAAGCAACACCTTTTAGTTGGATTTCACTAATTCAATAAGCCAAATCACCATGATTCTACAAAGAAGTTCTTTATATAAAAAATACATGCTCTCTATATCCCAATTCATGTGACACAATTCGTTTTTCGAGAGTCAAGTAGTTTAAGTTTGATCGAAAATTTATGTATGAAATCTTCAATATTTTTTAAATGAAATTTATATAATTGTAAACTACGTAGAAAATATTATAAGTCACAATAGTTTACAATCCAAAATATTTAAAAGATATATGAAAAATTTACGGTCGAAAAACTTGTTTGAATCTCGAAATCCAAAATGTGTCACATAAATTGGAACGGAGGGAGTAATAACTAACGTCCCATTCAACTTAGTCTCAGCTGACATCTATGCCCTTCAACTTTGAATGTACGTAAATAGACTCTTAAACTTGTATAAAATTGAACAAGTAGACACTGCGTGTGCTACATGACAATTCGTGTGAGACACAATGTAAGACACATGTTTACTTGTTCAACTTTATACAAATTTAAGTGTCTACTTATGCACACTTAAAATTAAAGACATAAATGTCAACTAAAGCCAAGTTAATATACATGTTTATGTGGTATCCCTATCTAAAAAGGTTTCCTTATTTGTGGAGTATATTCTCATTTTTCATTTCAGGGATTTAAGAAGATAGTTCCAGAGAGATGGGAGTTTGCAAATGAATATTTCAAGAAAGGACAAAAACACTTACTTTGTGAGATCCAAAGAAGAAAGAGTACACCTCAACAATTACATAATTTGACACCCTACCATGAACACATCACAAGAAGTATCTATCACCAAGAAACACAAAACCCTAGTAGTGTTGATCATGATATCCTTTTAGCACTTACACAAGACAATGAAAGGCTAAGGAAAAGGAACATTGTACTATTATCTGAACTCACACATATGAAGAATCTCTACAATGACATTATCTACTTCATTCAAAATCATATCAAACCGGTTGAGGAAAAATTCAGTGTGTTTTTACTTAATGAAGATCTGAATCAGAAAATCGTTGATCATCATCGACATCGCCAAGTACATATTGAAGATCATGAAGAGCCAAAGAGTGATAAGGTAAAGTTGTTTGGAGTGAGTTTATGTGGGAAGAAGAGATTGCATCATGAAAGGATTGATCAAGAAGTATTAGAATGTTGATTTGTGAACATTTCAATTTTAGTGTCAATTAAATTTAGATCACATTTGTTTTTTTTAGCTCTTTCAAAATTAAAACCAAGGTAATTATGTCGAGAAGTGTTGTATATCAATTGATGCACAAAACAGAGAAGGGTATATCCTAGCATTAAATGTGAAAATGAATTTTGACTTTATAGGAAACAAATAGATAGGGAAAGACATATATCTACTAAACTTATGTTGATAGAAGCAAAAGTTCATTTCAAAACTCACAAGTTATGTCGTAAAAGACATACCTCAATTCCTGCGGAATTTATCTCGAAAGAGACAAGACTTCCGTTTTATAACCCACAAGCTATGTCATTAAAAAAATTTATTTAATTCTACACAACTTATGCCGAGTATATCTAGCGAAATTATGTCATAGAAATAGTACACAACTTACACCGCATATCTTAATTCCTACACTATTTATGTCTAGCGAGGCAAAAGTTCTCTAAAGTTATACCTAGCGAAATTAGGTCATAGATATTGGTCCATACATTTTCATCAAATGAGCAATAGGGTAAAAAAATTAAAGATCATCATATTTTCATCAAATGAGCAATAATTCTTTATAGGAGTTATCAAATTTGTAGCAATACAAACAACAATAGTAAATTTTATTGCAAAATTTGAAAGTAATATTTTATCTTAATTTCGTTTCTTTCATTTTCAAAAGTTAAATTAAAATCATTGGTTAGTTTGCAAAATTATGTTGTACGACTAGCACTATTTATTGATGTTCGTGGAAATCAATTATTTATCTAGGTAGTATAATAATTTATAGCCATAATTTCTCATTCAATAAAAAGAATGTCAAAATACGTATATGTCTTCTTGATAGGGGTACACTCAATCCAATTTTATTTGTTTATTGATTAATTTCAATGGTAGATTGGTAGTAACTTATTTGACAATCTTTTATTATATTTATATTATTTGTAGTAAGGAAAAAAAGTCTTTCCTCCGAGCAAAGAAATATTTGAAAGAGGGCAACATATTAAATTTGGGAAAAAAGAAAACTTGAATTAATTCTATAACTCCTGCCTTGAAGGCAAAGACTTAGATCAATAATTTAAAACAACAAATTACGTTTCATAGGCAAGACTTGACACTATCACATTGTGTCTTGATTTATTAGATGCTCTATAACTCTTGTTTTAGAGGCAATACTTAGACGGAGAACTTTAAAACAACATGTAACGCCTGTGTACAAATACTACCACATTGTGTCGTGATTTATGAGATGCTCTATAACTCTTGCTTAGAGTCAAGACTTAGCCCAAGGACTTCCAACTAGGGGTGTTCACGGTTTGGATAAAAACCGATCCAAACCGATTAAATGAACCGATTTTATTTAGGTTTGATTTGGTTTGGTTTTAGATTTTTAAAAAACCGATAGTAATTGGTTTGGTTATGATTTTGTTCGAAAAAAATCGAAGAAATAACTGAACCAAACCGATAAATAATATACATAAAATTTTATTATTATACATACATAATATACTATTTTATACACAATTTTAAAAATCTTATAAATGTATTCATCAAAATTTATTTATAATTTACTTATGAAAGTAAAAATGCCCGAGGTAAGAACATTTATCTTATTGGTTTCATGTATATGAGTGTCTATGACAATTCTTTGTGGTACTGAAAATGTCAATGTCTCTTCCTTCCAGGACAAAAGTAGTGAACTTTGAAGCTTTATTCATAGTAAATTCAATGATCGAAAGTTTCATAATGTCATTCATTCTAACTATTTTTCATTTTGAATGGATTATTGTCACTTTTTTCACGTTTTGAATGAATTATTTCTTTTAATTTTATGTATATGGTTAATAACCGAATAACCGAACCAAATCGAACCGAAACCGATAACAACCAAACCGATAAATGTATATTATATTAGGTTTGGTTTGGTTTTGATAATTTTAAAACCGATTAAGTTGGTATGATTTTGGTTTTGACCAATAACCGACCCAAACCAACCCGTGAACACCCCTACTTCCAACAAATAAGTTACGCCTCATGGGCAAGAGTCTTGATTTATGAGATTATACTCTATAACTATTGGCTTAGAGTTAAAGACTTATTAGTCCAAGAATTTCCAAACGAACAAGTGAAGCTCAGTGGAAAAAAAGAAGAGAAAAGATAAAAAAAAAAAAATGAAAGAAAAATAAAGAAATAGAAAAAATAATAAGTGAAAGAAAAAAGAAAAAGAACACGAAAAAAATAGAAGTTGAACAAAAAAGAGAAAAGAATAAAACAATAAATAAAAGAAAAGTAAACATTAAGAGACAATTGAGCATTGAAAGTTCTTTAAAAACATTTGAGGGGTGAAGAGACAAAAATGCATTGTACTAGACACACATTTAGGAAGAAAGGCTAGTTTTTAAAGACTTTTCTTGTGGTAGATTAAAAATCAAGATGGAAACACCTTGTGTAATTTCTTGAATAATAACATTGAACTAAATTGAAATACTTTAAAATTCAGTTTTTCTCATAAATAACTTTCATAAATTTCATTATATGAAATTTATAAAAATTTGAATGGTTTTTTTTTTTTGGGTTCAGAACATTGAAACTTATTTATAATCTCACAAATATTTATCACTTATTTAAGACCATAAGTTTCACAAGTCTTTCTTACTTTCTTAAACTTTATATCAAGTCAAACTAATCACATAAATTGAGAATGATAATACAAACTTTAATATATATATATTAAAACAATAATTATCAGGTCATATAAAGGGTGTCTACAATTAAGAGATTTAAATAATCCAATAAATTAAAAAAAAAAAATAGATTATCGAGTATAACAAATAATGTGACTTGATTGATATATAACAATTATTTGTAGTACAAATAAGTGAAGTAGAATGCGTGGAGTACAATAGTTTGTAGTAGTACTTTATAGACAAAGACATCATATAAAGAAAGATATTGTCCTAGAATTGAAGTACTAGTACTAATTGTAGTACAATGTGTACACCTTTTAAAGATCTATCTCCCCTTTATATATGTCTTCATGAATTCACATAAAAAGATGGAGTCAACAATATGTGGATGTGTTCAATAGGGTTGATTTGAGAACATATGTATGGGCATATTTTGTTTCTAACAATTTATTGTTTATAAATGTGACACATATGTTCTCAGGTCGCCCCTGTAGACTATTCTTCATCATTCAATTTGATAAGAGGTTGATACTAATGGTGTTGATTTTGATTGACTATGTTTCTACTAATTGTTTTAAAGGTTCTAAGATCGCTAACATGACTATTCTTCATTCTTTAATTTGTTAAGAAATTGATATTGATTGACTATATATCTACTTGTTTTAAAGGTTTGATCACAGATAAGCCCACTGTCGATATTAGTAATTAAGCAAAAGCTAACCTTGATTTGATAAGAGGTTGATATTGATGGTGTTGATTTTTAATGAATATTTTTTGCCTATTTATTTTCCATTTCATCCTCTATATTAGGCATATATATCTAATGATATTTCAAATAAGATGTTTTGAATATCAAATAGATAAATTGAAAAGGAAATGTATGGGCTAGTTAATTTGCAAAGGAAGTTTATGGACTAAGGTGGACTTATATATAGGCTTAGGTCCAATTGTCAATGCAGGCATGATATAAAATTTGGAAATTTTGTACTATACAACATCCTAATAAAGTCCTCATAAAAAATCGAAAATAGGGATGACAATGGAATGGGAGTTGTGAATGTGGGACGGGTTGAGTCTTAACCCACAAAATTTTCAATCCGCCGACATTATCCTTTTATGTGTTTTAATTTTCCCTACCTCGTCTCGCCTCGCGGGAATAATTTGCTATACTTTCAAAATAGGATTAGGAATAACTTTTAATAATTGAATTTATTCCATATTTTTATGTGAGTAATCATTTCATTGGTTTATGGAAACTTTTTATGGTTTAGAAGATAAAACTATTTCTCTATTTTTTTTTATATAAAAAAAAAACCTTTTGTGGAGTTCAACCAAAACCTAGTAGATTTTAGTAATACTGATGATGGTGACCAAAAATTTCTCCAAGCACAATGATTTGCTTTTTTCTTGGGCCTACAAATACCAAGGGGAAAAGCAACACCTTTTAGTTGGATTTCACTATTTCAACAAGCCAAATCACCATGATTTTACAAAGAAGTTCTTTATATCAAAAAGACCTACTCTCTATGTCCCAATTCATGTTACATAATTCATTTTTTGAGAGTCAGATAGTTTAAGTTTGACCGAAAATTTACGTATGAAATCTTCAATATTTTTTAAATGAAATTTTATATTTGTAAACTACATAGAAAGTACTATAAGTCAAAATAATAATTGACAATTCAAAATATTTAAAAGATGTGAAAATTTTATAAATGACATTTATTAGACTAATATTTTCAAGTTATAGCAGCAGAATAAAACTTTCAAGTTGTAACAATAAAAAATTTCAGGTTACAACATTTTATTAAAAAAAATTAATTAAAATAATAGTAAAAAACATTTTTTTAAATATCATAAAAAAATGGATAACATTAAGGATAATTAATAATGCATAAATTTAGGGGATTCAAAACAAAATAAGAATATTTAGGTTTCCTTTTTTACTTCAATCAGTTATAATTAAATCAAAAATCAGATTTTATTTTATTTTCAAACGTTTCTCTTTCCCTCTAATTTTTTTCTGTCAATTTGTTTTCCTTTTTTTACTCAATCAGTTAAAATTAATTCAGAAATTAGATTTTTTTTTATTCAAACGTTTCTCACTCCCTCAATTTTTTTTTCTGTGATTGTCGTCATTCACGACTAATTCCAAAATATTTTTGGTTCAAAAATCTTTATTTTGTGGTAATGGACGGATTCTTATCGATATTAATAAAACATGGTGGTAGATGTGATCCTTCTGGTTAGTATTCATTGCGATTTATTATTTGTATTTTTATTCCAACTTTAGTAAAAAAAATTAAGAACAATGAAACTGAAAATGAAATTTTTGGATTTTGGTTGTGTATAATAGATTTAAATTGTGATTTTTTTGTATGATCATTTGCTTCATATTACAAATTAATTTTTGTGAAAATTGAATAAATGATGTTATGAGTTTTTTGTAAACTGGTTTTTGTAATTTGTATACTGTAAACACAATGAATGTGGCGATTTTGTATTTATATTTGAATGATTTGATTATATTTTTTCGTGATAGTGTATGAAATAGTGATGATGTTATCATTATAAATTTATGAAATGTGTGTAAAAAAATAAATGTATGAAATGCGTTTTATGGTATGAATTCTGATAGACTGTTTGGACTGATATTGGTATGAATAAGTAATGACGAGTGTGTATAAATTTTTGTGAGAAGAATGAAGTTGTAGATGGAATTTGTATTATCTTGGTATGAAATTTGAATATAAATACAACATATTTATTATTCTTTTGTATAATGTTAATAGGTTAGCAAGGAGGTTGCCAGTGATTTCACTTCTTGAATTTATGAGGATAACAGTTCAAACATGAATTCATAAGCACAACGAGGAGGCTACAAAAACTAGATCAGAGCTAACAAAAAAAATATGATCTTAAGCTCCAGAAAAGTATTGCTTTGTCTACCAGTATGAGGGTATGATTTTTCCTTTATTCATTAATATCCAAAGGTATTCATGTATGCAATTGATATGATTACTGACTGAATTTGGTATAAAATGCCAACTTACATGAACAACACATTACACAAGTAGCTGAAATGAATTTGATATCCATTATGTATATAGTTGAAACCTTTTTTGTGGCTTGTTTTCTTTGTAACATGTTAATATCCAAAAAATTTGTGTTAGGTAATACCATCAACACGTTATTTGCATGTTGTTGTTGATGGACCAAAGCGGTACATAGTATGCATAAACACTAAGAAATATAGTTGCGGAAGATTTCAAAATGATGAGATATCATGTAAGCATGGAATGGCAGTTCTTAGGTATAGAAGATTGCATGAAACAGATTACTGCTTTCCTTTTTATAGCTTGAAGAATTTTGAAGATGCATCTGTGATCCCTGTTGAACCTCTCCTATGTGAGAGTACATGGGATATACCAAGTTATGTTTCAGAGCCTAAATTGATGTCGCCTGGTTCAAAGAGAACGGTAGGAAGACCGCAACTTAAACGCTGGAAGGGATTTGCTGATGTGAAATTCAAAAGGTCTAAAGTTACTTCCATTAGATGTCGTCAAGTGGGCCACAACAGGAAGACATGTTCAAATTACCCTGCGCCAAAAAAATGATAGTTTATTTGTTTAAACGATACAACATTTTTATTTTATTATATCTTTTAGACTCATGTTTTTTTTTATTGGTACAATGTATTCATTGTTTTCCAATAATATTTATTGACAATGCATATCAAATATATACAGAATTGATATCAAATGCATTCCAGCTAAGTGTTTAATATACTGTTCATGTTTTATACAAGATTCATTCAGTAATCATACCAATTGCATATTGCTGGAAATAAAATTCATGCCAGTTTAATATATAAGGTATTGTTCATATTAGTGAACATTATATAAGGTAATTATGGTATGCATTTGGTATTCATTTAGTATGCAAATTAATAGCGACTGATATTATTTAATGTAAGTTACAATGAGTATTAATTGGTATCCAACTGGTGTCTACTCTAAACCAAAATAAAATAAGATATAATTGATGTTGGTGCAAAATTTAATGATCGCAGTTTTAAATTGTCAGATTCGTTTCCTATAGTATTTATACAGATTGTATACCAACTTCATACATCTTTAAAATATAAAATACTTAATCCACGCTTGTTAAGACAATATAATTTACAATTAGTATTAATTTGGTATCCATAAGGTGTCCAACATGAATAAATATAAAACAAGATGTAATTGAGGTTGTTACAAAATACATTGATCACTATTTTACATTGACATAATCATTTCTTCAAGGTATTTATACAGGTTGGATACCAACTTCATTCATTTTTTATTTTTTTTATTTTTTTGTGTTAGAATATGAAGTAAAAAAATCAATCATGTATGAATTTGGATGCCAAAAATGTACAGTTTGGATCCCAATTATAAGACAGAGTTAGTTCATGAACTCTAAATTGGTATTCATTTTGTTTCAGTTAATAAGACACTGTAAGATCATGAACTCTAAATGTTGAATCCAATTGGTATGCAGTTTGTATATAATTGTTATCCCAAAAATTATTATACTCAATGTGTAATTTATCTTTAGAATGATGTATCCAATTGGTATGTAGTTTGTATATAACTAGTATCCTCAAATTATAATGGTCAATTTGTAATTCATATGTAGTTGGTATCTGACTGGAAGAAAACAATGGATATTATATATCATCAAATACTTAAAACTGTATCAAACACAAAAATATCGTCCAAAAGTGAAAAAAACTTGTAATTCTAAAAAGTCTAAGGTGCAATCAACTATCTCAAATTTGATCTTCGTGCTATTGGTGTAGGATAATTGCTGGTATCCGGAGCATGTTCTTTTGTTATGCGAGGTCCACCAAATTTGCTAGTAACAATTCTAGTTACTTCACTCTCACTGATCGCGCCATCATCATTCTTTATTTTTTCCATAATGTCATATGATTGTGGCACACATTTGACGATGGTACTTTGCATCGATATCAACAAAACACATATCAAAAACTCCATTACTGATGTATTCAACAAATAAACATGTGTACAAACCACAATCACTGAAAAAACAATTGCATAACATAATATTTATAACAAAAAAATCACTAATTTAAATAATTTGAAATTAAATTAAATATAATACTTACCCTAACCACTTTTTTTTTTTACCTTTTTTAGATATTGGAATTTCTGAGTCCTCTTTCGTTGTTGTTCTTCTTCTTGATGGTTTTGAGGACTGACCAATTTCAACATTTGTTGTTTTTTTCTTTTTTTCTTTTTTATCTCACTTACGAAATTCGAATTCAAATGAGTTTCTACAATTTTACCCTTCTTCTTTTATCCCTTTTGATTTGCAGGACTTACCATTTTCTTTGCTCGACTATTTTTCTACTTTTGAGTAATCTGATTCTTCGATTGAGAAGAACCCGCCTTTGCCGAAATTTCATTATTTTTTTACGGCG